CCCCCCACCCCCAAGATCAAAGTTCTCACCTTACAAGCTTATCTCTAACGACCTTTCTGATATACATGTCCCAGCTGCTCTGGAGAGATATAGAGGAACCTTAGCATAACCTGACTATATTCATGGTCCCAATTTTCCACCAAGCTGTCTACACTGGGGACAGAGCTAAATTATACAAATTATTAAATTATACACCTCCTTTTACCTTGCATATCTCATATCTTAGTAGAGAAAAGCAGACTTTAGTTTTATATCACATTTCTTAGCCGGTGTCAAAGCTTCTTTGCAACAAGAAGTTGAATAGTGACAATTCAGAATCCATGGCAGCAGATGAGTCAGAAATTCAGTCTCCACCTGATGTCTGGCAGCAATGGTACCAGATGATGCCTGGTAGGCCTGAGATCCCTTGAACCTGGATCTGTATTTTTCACTATAAGAGATATCTGCTCTAAATGGTACTTTTCCCATGTTCTTCTTTCCACAAGATTTTTAAAACCCAGTGAGTTGCTTACATGAGGCACTAAGAAATGAAGTCAAATTAATTACACATTGAGAAAATGCAACCTTTAGTATAGTAGGACTTATTCCCTGTGTTTCTTTGTTACTAGCACCTGACACTGATTCTGAATCCTAGTATAAAAAATGAAGCCCTATACCTCTGGTCAGGAAGGAAGTGGAAAGCAGTAACTCACGTAACCATTTAGACCCCTGTTCCCATTATTCTTCCCCTTTGTGTTCAGTTCATCAAGCCTTTTGTCAGACCTGTATAAATCAGTAAATTAAACTATGACATGGTACAGTATCTAATCATGCCTGACATTCTAGGCCTAACAATCTTATCTTTGAAAACAGATCCTGACCAGCAATTAGATCACAGTCACAGCTACCATGGTTTGGTATAACAAAATAGATTTGCTTCTCCCTTTTCACTCTTCATTGGTTTACCTTCTAATAATTTCCAACAATGTTAACTATTGAATATATTACTAATACCTCTAAATTACCTCTTGGGTTCACTTTTTTCCCCCTTAGATATTTATACACTGAATTAAAATCACGGTAGGACATCTATGTCTGCTTCTACTTGCTGAGATTTAAGTTGCCTCTCTCATCTGTTGATAGATGCACGTAGCATAATGCAAGCAGGATATTAAAAAGCTAATTCTTTTTCTTTCCCCTCTTAAAAATTCTTGCCTTTCTTTAAGGATCAGCTAAGTCGAGTAGCTCTTTTGTATTCCTTTATTAGCTTACAGCATGCTTTCTTAAGCATGACATGGCAATACAATGTAAAAATGAACATCATCTTAAAGGTTTTTTCCAACCTAAATGATTCTATGATTCTAAGAGTGGCCATGATTAATGTGTTTTTTTTTAAAAAAGACTAATCCATCATTTAGTCTGATTTCCCCTTTTTTGTTATTTTTTTTTTTTTTTTTTTTTTTAATGGCAAATGGCAAGATTGCTTAGAAGAGTTCTTGAAAAACAACAATTAAAATAGCAAGAACTCAGTTTGTGCCATAAAAAATTGACTAGAAAGGTTATGTTGATTTCCATAGCTTGAAGTAAAGAATATTTTAAGTGACTCTGTGCTACAGGGATAGCTCAGTCTCATTTAGTCACTGTATGGATTTCCACTAAAGAAGTCTTCTAAATCTCTTACTGGTGTTCCACTCCCAGCAAAAGAACATGAGATACAAGAGTGTGGTAATAGTAGTGGTATACCATTACCATCCATGCTGGGTCACTAGTGTGACACCTGTGCATTATGAGAGTAAAACACCACCAGTTCAAAATGGCAGCACCATACAATGTTAGGCTCACAAGTGGGACTACCCAAAGGCACTGCTGGATCAGTCTTCCTGGGCTTTACTATTCCCAGGGGTTTCAATTCATGCAAAAAAATTCTCTGGTGTAAAAGCTCAATGGCTTCACTAGATTTGATTTTATTTGAGATGTGCAGATCTTCATCAGTGAAGGATCTGACATGATGAAGTTAACCATGGAAATAAATGGAGGAACTGAAGAACAGATAACAATGCTGATGTTGAAGGTCATCTAGTCTGACATTCCTGCACAAAGCAGATCTGCTAGAGCAGGCTGCCAAGGATCATGTCCAGTCAGGGTTTGAATATCTTCAAGGATGAAGACAACTGCTCTAGGCAAACTGTTTCAATAGGACACTTCAGCAGGATGTCATCCTGTATATTTGCAGACATGAACAAATAAATAAACTCCAGAAATATTTCCAAGCATGTACATGCATTCCTTTCTCTGGGAAACTGTCCTTATCCAGACTATAGCAACCTCAAATTTAACAGTTAGAGATTATACTGGAATGCCGTCAATAAACTAGTTCCTTGTCTACAGAACATTTGTAGTTTGTTCCACTGATTCCCCATTCACAGTTCATGCTCTGATGCTTTGTTACACAACTCAACCTCTTTGTTTCTGGATGATTTACCTAATTCTTCACCCCAGCACACAATCTAAATAGGAAATTTTACACTACATGAAGTATTCTCTCAACAAACATTTGTGCGTTTCAGCCTGATATTTGCCTTACACAGTAGTAGAAGACCTCAAGCACTCAAATGATTGTGAAAGGCAGACACAAATGGCTTGCAAACAAGACCATTAAAACTGAATCCACACTCAAAGGTGAAAAAGTATTCAAAGAAAAACTGGTCCTAACATTCACTGAGCACTCATCAATATTTGGAAAGTGTATTTGCTTATAGTCAGTGTATGTTTTTGAAGAACACCTTGTTTGCTTTTCTTGCAGTTCTGTTTCTTGTAATTTGTGGCAGATGATCTTATTAAGAACTGGTGTAGGTATGTCCTGAGTTGCTCCTGCCCCCTTTACTACTCAAAGACCTTAGCTCTGCAATTGCCTGATTTCATAACACAAGAGAGTTGGGAAGTCATTCAGGAATTTCCCTGAGCACGTTCTCTATTGTTCTGAGGAACTAAGACATGTCCTGTGAGCATTTCTGTCTATTCTGGGTGCATACAGCTGAAGATTTTTTCAAAGCATGAGGCAGTGAAGACAGTGTTGGTGCACAGAGCATGTGTGTCCCAGCAGCTAACCTGAGCCGCTAGCCTACGGCTGCCCCCAGCACCCAGGGCTCTGGATTAAATCTGCCTTATGATACTTTGGGCAAAGTGTTTCCTGGTGCAGTTGCCCTTTTCAGTCAGCAGCAAATTTTAAAAATTTAATTTGGATTTGCTCTTCTAATGGGTTCATTACTCTCTATTTCGCTGTTTATCTTCCTAGTGTTAGCATTTTTACGGAATTATCAAGTTCTAAGCAGATAAACTTTTTTTCTTTTTTTCTAAATACATTGAACTCTGAACTGTTCCTACCTCCTCCTATTAGGTTGTTTACAAGAGTTTAGCTCAGTGTAGCTTTTTTGATTCCTCACATTTAGTATCTACTGTGCTCTCCTTGGACCTCTAGCCACAAACCAAGCCTGAGGTACCTGTCCTGCATGGGGTTCGGTCCCTTCTTCAGAGCACTGAGAACCCTTGATACATAGAGAGCATCTCCATGTAGCACTGAAACAGGGCTCTACTGGTCTTGAAGTTGTTAACTCTCATTCTCTATTTTAATACTGTCATTACCTTATGCTTAAGAACTGCACAACCATTATGATTTTCTACCACCCATTTAATGGGGCCCACTGCACTCATTTTCATTTTGTTGTTTTCTACTTCATAGTTAGAAAAATTCCCCCCCCCACCTTCAGTTTGCAGCTTAGTCACTTCTTAAGCAAAAAACCTCCCAACAACCACTAAATAGAAATAAGAATTCTAAACAGCACTTAAGATAGATAAACAAATACATAATACGTGCATTGTAGACCTGCATTCCTATATAAAACTGACTCAGGTTATTAAGCGATTAATTAAGCAATGAATGCTCTTACCTTAAGTGACATTAAAAGAAGCTGTTGGACGTTCAGATCTATGCAAAATTAAGTCTAACTTTGGCTATCTATTTTTGACAAACTTGGATAAACTCTCCAATAAGAGAGAGAAACAATGTGACCTGAGAAATGTACTGTGACTCTAACACCCCATATTTGCAATAAAAACAATAGCAACTACTTCACAACAGGCAGGAAGAGAGACAGAAGGACACTTCTGTCATTATGTTACTTAGAGTACAAGTTTCAGGGGGCATTTTTAGAAAGCTTCTGAAATATTACATGGCATTGCTGGCAATGTGGACTGACATAATTTAGAATTAACACAGCAAAATATGAGGTGACACTTCTTGTTTGTTTTTTTTTTTTTTTACGACTTCTCTCCATAAAATATAATCCTATGGATCAACAGCACTTTCAGAGAAACAGTGAATAAACCAGACAGGTTTAATATTGGCTTTAAATTCACAGATGATGCTCAGGTGGTGTCCTGTACTAAGTAAATATTTCGACAGAAAGAGTGGGCTGGATATATCATTAGGTCAGCATAGCTTGTAGAATTTCACATTTCCCTTTTACTGGTTATTTTGTGAATAAGTTGTTTTCCTTCACAGATTATTGAAATCAGTGAGTTTTAAACTTTCCTTGAATTTAGAAACAGCTCTAGCGTGAGCTTTCTCTGTGATATTTTGACACATTTCTGTTCTCAACAGAAATACAGGTATCAGAAACTAGGAATTACAAATGTGCCTTTACAGATGTACCCATAGACACAACTTGCATTCTGGAGATTCAGGAATACTACAGTTTGGAAGATGATTGTATCTGGGCCAGGCAGCACATCCCTTATTGAGAACACACAGGTAAAGCAAAGAAAGGAAGAGATCTAATTTCACATTTCTGCTAGTACCTGAAAAATCTACCTAGCCAAGTTCAGCTGTTGAAGCACATGGATGGTCTAATTGTAATTTACAATTCCATCCTTGGGGGACTGAACCATGCATGGACTCAGTCCTTGCACAGATGGGATGTCTGTCTTGCATCAGCTGCTGCAAAACCACATTTATTTTCTGTAATAACGTTTTACCTTTTTCTGAGATCCCACAAAAGAGTGAAAAAATTGAATCTCAGACATTGATCTTGTTATATGAACAAGTCCTGAGCCTCCCATATCACAAATGAAGTATCATGAATGCCACATCCAACTGGAGCTAACTTCTTTGACCAGGTAACCCTGTTATGCTTCCTCATTGCAGTGTGATGTACTTTGCTTCACATCCCTGCTGCAACTGTAGGTGCAGGCAGACACTCCAGCATCAGCTAACTCCTGATCTCATGCAGGCTTGCCTTGTAAATGGAAAAGACCAATTAGCTTTTCTTCTCTTATTTTTCAGTGAAACCTTCTTCAGATTAATCCATCATTAGAGAGCATATGAAATCCATTGTGCAAGGAAGAAGCGATTAATATTTGGAGAAGTTAAAGGAGAAGGATTTTTTAAACTTGTTTAAAAATACAAGGGGAAAAGACTGAAGGCAAAGTAGTAAATGCAAAGCACATGAAAACCATGCTGAGGTAGGCAATGCATAACTTACTTTTGGAATCCACTGCGGCAGTAAGCTCTCATCTGACTCTTAAGATTAGTATTTTAGATCTGGGAGCTTCTTTGGAGTGAATCACATTAGCGTCTATGAAAGTTCACACTGTGAAAAAAAAAAGAAAAAGTGATCTATTAGGAATCAGGAATATGAGCTTAAAGACTTTCTGTAAAGTTGATTTTTCAGGCCCATTGTGTAGATTTATTTCAGTTCCTGGATTATTTAGCAGATAAAGGAGTTCTGACCTTCTTTCTCATCAGTTTAGCTGCTAGAAGTGTGTACTTAATTCACAGTGTGTGCTTGACAATCCTAAGGACATTTTTGAGTATAATAACACAGCAATGCAGCCACAGTAACTAGATTTTATGCTGCAGGAGAATGGCTGCCTTAATTAATTTTCGCAAAACATTACCAGATATCAAACTTTATTAAACTAATCACCCATTTGTGTTATCACAAATCCACTTTAAGTAATACACATGCAATCTTAAAGTCTCTAATCTAGACTGTTATATTTTAATCTATTTATTTAAAGACACAGAGAAGGATTAGAGTTTCGGGGGGGGGGTGACTTTTTATCTTAGTCAGTTCTCTTCATATACTACTATCTTTAAAACAGCAGATGATCTTCCCTTCCTTTTACAGTCAGAAAGGTTTTTATACTCTTTCAATCTCATCCAGGTTGCCTTATGTGTGAACACATGGTAAAAACAGGTCACACACCTCTCAGTGGTACCAGAAGAGTCTTTAAAATAGCTGCTTCTCCAGGTCCAGAGAGGGAAAAGCAGGCGAGAAAAGCTTCCATTGCTGCTGTGTAGGCTGTTTGCTTTTGTAGATTAATATAGGGTGGCTTTTGTTGGGATCAGTATTTAATTCCTTTGTGGATTGCTATCTTTATTTGACAAAAAGATATACCAGATGCTTAAAAAATAAATATGTTTAGTAAAATTTGTTGTGCTTTCTTAAAAATGCCCATGCTGGGTATTAAAGAGAAACAAAAACAAATAAAACAACAACAACAAAAAAAAAAGGCAGCAAAAGCCTTCTTGGTAAGAGATTGAAATGATACATAAAATAAAGCAATGAAGATGATGGTCCCATTTTCATTCTTTAACTCAAATTTATTTTTTTCCCCGCTTCCCTTAAATTCCTTTGTAAGAGACTAGAATGTTCTTACTTGGAATGTATTTTACTGTATTGGAGGTCATGTCATTGGCTTCGATGACTCAACATTTATGACAGAAAAAAAAACAACAAAATTTTAAGCTAGTCTAGCCATCCAAAACATCAATGCTCAGAGAGGTTTCCTGATTGTTTTCTTGTGCTCCTGCTCTCAATTTATAAGAAGTAAGAAGCTGCACATTTTGTACTCTAACTTGTATTGTGCAAGCCACCAATAATGAAAGATGTTTTTAAGATGCAGTCAGCAAGATAGCATAGATTGAAACTCGTCCTTTTTATTATTGCTTTTGATGCACACAAATCCTTTAAGAAGAATTTTAGCAATTGTTCTATTATTGCATGTCCCCTCTCCCCTTCAGATGAATTATTCATACTTTGTTGTCATAGCAATCCTTTCTCTTTCTGAAATGTTTAATAACTAGTCTTGACTCCAAACTAGACAATGAATCAAAGTGTAACAAAAGCTTTATTAACTAATGTGCTTTGTGGCAGATGCATTGTTTGTCTTCAACCTACACTTTCCTTGAGCTGTTGTCAGTCCAGTCTGGTGATATTAATGATGAGAGGAGAGACACCTGTAGGATATGCCCTTTACATAAGCTAGTTTCTTAGAGTGTCCATCTCCTTGCAGAGTGATGAGTCTCTACTTTTCTGTTAGCCTGACTTTTTTCAATGAGGCAATAGGCAGCCACTACTCTCTGTAGAGAACTCCCTGTCATGATGGATACGGATGTGGGGGTTAGTGGGACATGATTCTTAACAGGGAGAATGACAGAGGCACTTTTACCGTTTTAAGCCCATGTCTACATTATGTACCTGTGTTGTTTTACTCTTTAACCATGTCCCACAATGCAGACCAAGTAGATGTTGATCTAAATTGTTTATTTTATCCAACCGCTATAGTGACCAGCATGACTGATATTTTACATCTGAACACTGGAGTAGAGATCATCATAACCTTTCCATCTATGACACACTTGAGGAGGAAAAGTCTGAATGCAAAAAAGTATTCAGTGACTATGCAGATTTGAACTTTTCCTATAATTTCTAAAACAGTACCTTTGGGGAATATTAGAGAAGATAAGCATCCACTTTAATTTTTGCTTTCTCTAGCAGAAAGATGTCTGCTTCTTTAGCAATGGTGTCGCCTCATACACTAAAGAAGACATTTTTCCTTCCTTTGATGAATGCTAGAGAGCCGGGGGGGGGGGGGGGGATGATCAGCAGCAGAGTGCTGCTTTTCTGGAAGCTTAGCTTCAGTGATTCTCAGCTTCCAAGCCCAGTCTCATTCCATCCCAATACATCTTATTCCCTGCACACTCTTGTTTTGAGATCAGTAATAAGACACTTCTGAGTCCTTAGTGTGCATTCTAATAAGTTCATTCTGCCTACTATTCTCCTGATTTCATAGTCCATGAGAGCCATAGTCTTCTACTTGCCACTCCTAAACCTGAGAAGGTGGTACTGGCAATAAGGAAACAGGGACAGTCCTGCTTTTTCAGTTTGGTTCAGTTTGATGCTGATGATCAGTATAATCCCTACCCATACTGACTTTGCAATTTCACATATATCATGTATGGGTCAACCCTTGGCAGAAACATTGGACACTGTTGATCTTAAGCCACTGAGATGCTGTACCTCAGCCAAAGCTGTAAGTGATGAATAAATGATCTATAGATTAGGTCATATGGATGTGCTCTTCTCTGGTCTTCTGCAGGAGCAGTTAGGGCCCAGCTCATACTGTCAGTATCAGCCAGAATCTACCTGATAGTCAATAGAAGCTTTATTATAAAAATTCACTGTTTGGCCTGAAAGGTGTAAATAGGGTAATGCTACAGTCTATGAACAGTACATCTGATGAGAGGCTTGACAGAATGGTAAGTCACTAGAGCTTCTGACATTGGTTTTATTTCAGGAATAGCAGTCCATTTTCTTGAATGAGGATTCATGAGAACAATAATGGCTTATATTTTAGAATATTAGCTGCCTTCAAGCCTGAGTAGGGCATTTGGGATGAATGCCTTATTTCTGCCCAACCTGCTGGGATGACAAAAACCAGCAAAGGTTTGCTTCCAAGGAGGGATGTGAAACCAGTTGTATTACCCAGCAGTTCTGCTACACTGGCACAACTCCCACAAGACAAAAGATGCAATTCAGAGAAGTGGTGCTAGGATCCAACAGATGACCTCCTTTTTCTTCACTGCTACTTGCAGTGTGCACAAGGGAGGAAAGAAGTTACTTTGCCAATAGAGATATCAGAAGAACTTGTGTGGAGACCAGTTGTTATCCCAAGAGACAGGCATCAAGCACGGCACCTTTTCAAATTCATTCTAATCTTGAAATTTTCTTTTGTCTGTTGTTATATTAATTTACTACTTTACTTTATTTTGTTCATTCTGTCTATAATTTTGGCAGTATCTACACCTGAATCAATCCCTTCAGACAGGGGAGGTCCAACAAGTTTCTCATGAGCAGGTTCTGCCTGTGTAAAACTTCTATCCACATGGTGAGCGGTATATTCAACATAATTTATTCATCCTCAGTTTGGTATGTATATTTGATCTAACAAGTGCTTCGTCTATCCAATGCCTTATTGTAAATGTACTTTCCAGCCTTCTGAGACTCAAATACTAAATATAAAACAGAATATGCATGACTAGGTTTGGGAATATTTTCTGACACTAGTGTTCATCATAAGTAGCTATGCCAAAACCCTATGTTATTTTTTGTCATAAATCATCATTTGTTATTGTGCATCTATTTTATTTCATAAATGTATAATAAATGATCTCTGGGTTAGACTAAATTTCACTTTTTAGCACATAAAAAAATGAAAACAAGTGATGTAAATGAAGAACAATATTTAAAAATTATTTGTATGGCTCCGAGAAAATAATGAAGAAATTGTAGAAATTTAACAAAAATATCCAAATGATTTAATAGTCATTTCAAGATTGTGAAGCAACCATTTTCCATGCAAAACAGAATGAATAATACTGCATGCCTACATGGTTGTGTGTCAATTCAAATAAATATCCTGTTGTTTTTAAATCACATAAAAATACAGGCCTTGTTCAGCAAAGTGTACTAGCAGTGAGTTGTAGTATCATAGAATCATAGAATAGTTAGGGTTGGAAAGGACCTTAAGATAGTCTAGTTCCAACCCCCCTGCCATGGACAGGGACACCTCGCACTAAACCATATCACCCAAGGCCTTGTCCAACCTGACCTTGAACACTGCAAGAGAGGGAGCATTCACAGCTTCCCTGGGCAACCTATTCCAGTGCCTCACCACCCTTACAGTAAAGAATTTCTTCCTTATATCCAATCTAAACTTCCCCTGTTTAAGTTTTAACCCGTTACCCTTTGTCCTATCACTGCAGTCCCTAATGAAGAGTCCCCCTCCAGCATCCCTATAGGCCCCCTTCAGATACTGGAAGGCTGCTATGAGGTCTCCACGCAGCCTTCTCTTCTCCAGGCTCAACAGCCCCAAATTCCTCAGCCTGTCTTCATACGGGAGGTGCTCCAGTCCCCTGATCATCCTCGTGGCCCTTCTCTGGACTTGTTCCAACAGTTCCATGTCCTTTTTATGTTGAGGACACCAGAACTGCACACAATACTCCAAGTGAGGTCTCAGAAGAGCAGAGTAGAGGGGCAGGATCACCTCCTTCTACCTGCTGGTCACCTATATGAATTTAGTTGTCATTACCAGAACACATGCTTAATTTTTATTGACTTACCGGAAGGTCCAATCTCCTCCTTCCAGCTCAGCCCCATCCATTTTCTTGATTCTTGATCTTCTTCCAAGCTTCTCTTGCTTCTTTTTTTTTCTGTTAGAATTGGTTTTTTTCTTTTCCCCCAGATGCCTTATTGAATAAAGTACCAGAATGGTTTTACAGTTCAACTCTTGCCCCTTTGCCCCAGGGCTCCAACATTCTAACAACTTGGTACACTGAGTGGTTGAGAGATATTTCTCAACAGGACGTCAGGCTTCCTGTTGCTTCCACGGACCCTGCAGTATCTTGTAAGATTAGTACTGAAAGAAAAGACTATAAATAATCTCCTTTGCAGTCAGTCAGATGCAATCCATCAATACCTTGGCCCTTGTTAATCCTCCCAGAAAGCTCCAAAGCTGCAAGATTGAGCTAAGAGCAGAAATCTGGAAACAAGATCACTGATAGTCTCATATCACTCTTTTGCTACCTGTATGGATGTGAACATGGCTATACAGTAGGCAACAATGCTTCTGCGGTCTGAAATGCTCTTACCTCTGAACACATACTTCAAAATACCTTTTATCCCATTTCTGTTTCCAAAAGCAACAAAGAAGCTCCCCAGAATAATTCTGGACTTCACAGCCTTCTAAATGAGTAACAGAAACCATGTATTTCCTTGAAAAACGTGTGATCAGGCATACACAGCTTTATTCTATCTATCCATTTACCCCATGCCTGATCAGTATCAAACCCAACGGCAAAAGCTGAAGGAGCCCAGGGCTGTGACGTGGCTATCTTTCTTTGCTGTGCTGTGTCTCCAGGGTGCAGCTTCTCACGTGTAACTGAGCCCTTTCCCTTTCTCTCCCCAGGTACAGGGAGGTACCGACTGCAGCACCCAGAGCTGTAATATTTGAGGCCCAGTTGACCTTAACACCACAGCAATGAAACTCCAGGACTTAAATTTAGGAAATAATGTCATCTTTTCAAGAAGCATTTAG